AAAAACAAACTGGGGGATTTGTCGATCCATTGCCTTCGCTCTTCAATAACAGGCCATTCACGACGAGGCAGGCACACTCTGGCTGCAGCCCTCAGCCAAGATAGGCGCGCTTGCTTCGTGTGCGATAGTGGCCATGTTCCAAGACACGGTTTTTCCGTCCACAAGCCCTCGGAAGTCAAGTGAAGCCTGAGACCTTCTTGTCTGCTCGTGAAAAACGACTGTATAACTTAGGTATATTTGAGGTATATTTTAGGTATATCTTAGGTACATTTATGTATATGTGGGTTCTGCCCGTGAGAAACGATCTGCTCGTGAAAATATCTCGAGTGTAGATCTTAGGTATATTTTATGTATATGTGGGTTTTGAAATCGATTTCGAGAAACGATTGAAACTCGATTGTATATTTAAAGTATATTTTATGTATATGTGGTATCGTGAACTTGAATTACGTGAATCTCGATTGTGTATTTTATGCATACTGTACGTATATTTTAATATATGTGTGTTGTGCAACTTTGGTATATACCCGCAACATGTACCCACAACGTGTAAATTTTTCATACTTGAAATTTACAAATTTTCATATCGATACATATACCGAAAATATACTATATATAACCACAACATATACCCGCAACAAGTACATAATATAACTATCTATCAACAAATCAAGCACACCAAGTGTTCGACAATTATCCTCTAAGAAGTTTTTTGTTAGAACAGATAGAAAAAAAGTACATAGTAAACATATATTGTACATATACTGAACATATATTGCAAATGAACTGAACATATACTACATATAAGCAACATATATTGCCGATTGCCTCGTGCCGCGAGTTAAAGAAAAAAAACAAAAAAAAATAAAACAAAGAAAAGGTAAACAGGTTTAAAAATGGGCGCATCATCTTCGGTGCACGCCGTCTGAAGTCGTTGATGTCCACCACAAGCCGCCTGAAGTCGCCGACGACTCCCGATTTCTCACCTCGACGGCGGACGATAAATGATAGAGCACGGATCCAACTCAAGTATCGTCTTCTCCACTCTAATCGGCAGATCCTTCCCATCAATAACGCCATTAAAAAGCTCCAGAAACTCCCAATTCACGAGCCCGCTGTCTCCGTCCCCTTCTTGTGAGTCCTCCATCTCCGCCGTCAACCTTCAGAATCGCTTCGTTCGCTACTTATTCATGACGCATACAGAGAATGGAAAATCCATCTCCGATCGTTATCCTACGCCGCCATAGACGTCTCCGAACCCGCCTCCGATTTCTTTCTCCTCAGCCCGGGCAGAAGAGAAGCCCCGTTTCCATTCGGACCTCTACGCCGTCGAATTAGCCACTGGCATCCCGTTGGCCGGCCATCCAATCGACACCCGGGGCGGTGGGGGCTCCCTCGCCCTTCCCGGCGGAGGANAGAAGAAGAAGAAGAAGAAGAAGAAGAAGAAGAAGAAGAAGAAGAAGAAGAAGAAGAACCTGTGGGGATGGTGAACGTGGGCGGTGGGTGTTTTTTTGTTGGAGAGATATTATCTTCACCGTAAAATCAGCAACTTCCTTAATTATCCCAATTAATTTAAACTGTTACTCTTAGGTATATCTGCAATATTTTAGGTTGATTTTAGTACAATTATAAATATTTCCCTAATAAGTGTATAATTATAATATATTTGGAATCTTGAAATAGAGGGTGCAAATTCCTCAAACAATTATACAGAATAAATGACTCTTTTCAACCTGAACAAAAAAATTTAATGATAAAGTTTTGGGCCGGCTTTCGATTTTCCTATTTGGAGTTGGGAGTAGGTTGAACTAGAAAACTTTCTCATTATTATATAGTTTGTTTAAATACCACAATTCATAGACAGAGCCATGAGATCCCTCTCAGACGCCACCAAATCCTCGAGAAAGACAAGGCGGATTAGCGTTTTCCATCGCCTTTCCCTCTCAAACACCACCAAATCCGCGAGAAAGAGAAAGCGGATTAGCGTTTTCCAGCGCCTCTCCTACTGTACCAATCCACCTGCCAATGGCGATTCCAAGCCGTTCGAATCCGCTACTACTAGACGCCGAGATTCGACGAGCAACCTAATGTTCCTCGTCAGGCACGGACGCAACAACCACCTCGAATATTCTGTAACAACAATTGAAAACAACAAAAACGGCAACTCTTTGAGGCTACTGGCGGACGACGATGAAGATCTTCCTCACAACTTGTTGTCTGTAATCAGAGTTATAAACTACAATTCCCTTTGTCGATCTTCCCCCTACCCCGTTTTAGGAAGTTGCGATTCCTACATATGGGTGCTAGACGCACAAAATCCTCATCCATACGACCTTCTATGGGACATGTCGGAATCGAGACCCATCGGCTATTACCCCTCTGTTTTCCCAACTATGAAACTACTGTGGTTGAGCGGCTTTGGGTTTGATCCTTTATCCGGAGACTATAAGGCGGTCAGATGTTGGATGCATGACTACTATAATCCCACCAGGAAAGTCTACGCTGAGGTGTTTTCTCTCAAAACCGGTTCGTGGAAGGCAATTCGGTATCCTCACCATAGCAGCGGGATACAGTCAGAGAGGCCGTCAATATGCGTTAACGGTGTTCACTATTGGTTGGTTAATGATTGTAGGGAGGATGGTGGTTTTACTATTATTTCGTTCGACTTTTCTAACGAGATGTTTGGTGCTGATCTTATCTGTTTGCCGAAGGAGATGCGGAGGAACTTTAAATGTGTTTTGCTTGTCGAGTTTCATGGGTCGCTGGCTGTCATCTTTTGCTATTCCAAGTCTAAAGGGGACAATTGTTTTAATTTCGAGATTTGGGCGTGGAGGAATGAGGGTAATTGGTCCATTGTTTCGACGTTCGATATCCCTGCAGCTGTTGCTCCTCGTGAGGTGTTGGGACTCTACAAGAACGAGAAATTGTTTTTGAAGGACTCGAGACGTAACTTGCTGCTTTATGATTGTGCTACCCGAGACTTGGAGAATCTCGGAATCTATGATCATGAAATGGTTGCCCAGGTTTTCCCTTACATTAAGAGCTCCGTGGGTTAAGAGGAAATTTAATTAGAGCTCATTTTATGGATTCTTTCTTTGTTTGAGAGTTGCGTTTTTACATTTGTTTGAATGGTATCTGCTGTGGATGTCTATATGGTTCTTAGTTTACTTTGTTGTTGGACTGCTCCAGCACTCTTCCTTGTTTGTGGTTTCTTTTGTTGTATTGGCTTCATATTGAAGTGGTTCGATAAATGAGAATAACGTTGCCACACTCACCCATGGTCTTGAAAATGGAAATCTGATGAATTGATTTACTCTAGGAATGTAATCCACTTACTGTTGTTGGATGGTTAATGTTATTCAGCAAAATTGGTGTAGTTTGCTGGCAATCTCTTCAGCCACCATTTGTGATATTGTGTGATTGTTTGATCGGTTTGTTGGTATTCTCAAGTTATTCTCTTTTCCATCCTATCTTTCGAATTTTCAAGCATTTTTTTTTTTTTTTCNACTACTTGTTGTCCGAAAAAAATAATAAAAAATATTAAATTTACAAAAATATCCCTGTGGTTAAAAAAAGTTATTGAAAAAAAAAAGCATTAAAACGTTTAACAACAAAGCTCGGAAGCCAAAGAAACGTCCAGGAGATAAGTTTGGAAGCTAAACAAACGTCCAACGTAGAAGTCCGACCGCGAAAACAAACGTTCAAGAGCTAAGCTTGGAAGCCAAACAAACAAACATGAAGCCCGACTCTGAAACAAAACATCTGAAAAAAAAGGGGCAACACATTTAAAACTTTTGAAATCCAAACTTATCATACAGTTAAACGTCCCAGTAAGAAGCTTAAGGCCATGTAAAACATCTTAGAGTTAAGCTTTAAAGCCAAACAAACGTCCTACCGTGAAGCGCGACTAGGGCTGCAAATGAACCGAGTGCTCGAGTCAAAGCTCGACTCGAGCTCGAGTTTGACCGAACTCGAGCCCATATTTTTCCTTGTCGAGCGGCTCGAAATACATGTAAATTACTAAAATACCCCATTATAAATATATTAGCATAGGTCCTTAATAGTAATTTTACCTTTCCATTAAAAAATTTTCGAGCCGAGCTCGAGCATTTTGATTTTGAGTCGAGCTCGAGCCATTGTAATTTTTTTATCGAGTCGAGCTCGAGCTCGAGCAACTAAAAAAAAAAAAATCAATCCTGCTCGATAAGGCCAATGCTCAACTCGGCTCGGCTCATTTGCAACCCTATGCCCGACTCTGAAAGCAAACGTCTAGGAGCTAAGCTCGGAAGGCAAAGAAACGTCCAAAGTAGAAGCTTGACTGTGAAAACAAACGTCCAAGAGCTATGCTTGGAAGCCAAACAAACGTCTAAACGCGAAGCTCGACTCTAAGCTGAACGTCTAAAAGAGAAGGGGCAACACATTTATAACTTTTAAAATCCATGCTTATCATACAGTTAAACGTCCCAGGAGGAAGCTTAAGGCCCTATGAAACGCCTTAGAGTTAAGCTTTGAAGCAAACAAACGTCCTACTGTAAAGCCCGACTATGAAGAGGAACGTTCACAACGAAAGCTTCTCATACAATCAAACGTCCCAGAAGGAAGCTTATGACAATAATAAACTTCCTTAAGGAAATCTTAATGTACCCACAAACGTCCAACGTGAAAGCTTCCTCAATAATTTGATTTCTTCCACGTATCACTCATACTACTTTCTCACATATCTTAAAATAAACAACCTAACATCAACCAAGCAACAAACCTTTGAAAGGATATAGCATTGTTATTTTGTAACATACCCTTATATAATTAGCACAATACCCGTGTACTACACGGGTACTTGTTAAGAAAATTATATGTCAAATTAATTAATAGTAACAAAAAAATTGTTTTAGTTCTTAAATAATTTTGAAAAAAAATATATTATTATTCATATTTAAAATGACATTGTCAGACTTACAATCTTATATATATATATATATATATATGGTTGGGTTCTAGTGAGAAAGACTTTTAATGCGAGAAATAAGAATACATCGTGTCCATTGGATCGTGTAATCTAACAGATTAAAAAAACAGTATTTTTATATTCATTAAGGATATTTTAGACATTACATGATTACAATACTATCTAACCAACCCAATCACCAGTGGGTCCCATGCCACATCATCACACCCACCAACCAAACACACTATTACACACGCCATACACACATATAACACACGTGCACACACACACCCACACACTCTCACACACGTCAGCACCCTCACACACATATACATAAAAAAAACACACACACGTACATAAAACAACATTTATAGCTTTGTTAGCGGGTGGTTAGTTAGTGTTTGATTGAGGCCTAAGCTCGTGTAGCAATGCGGGCTCGCTCATTTAATTAATTCCCGTTATTCTATATCTTAAGGGTCAGCGGCTGAGTCTCCGCCACCATCGGACATGCACCTCACGCCGGCAACACCAACCCAGCGTCGCCCGTCGCCTCCGAAAGCCACAGCCAAATCCCGCCGTCCACAGCCGCCGCCCGCCATCCGACAGGCACCTCACGCCGGCAGCCACCGCGTCACCGCCGCCTCGTTGCAGCCACCGATCTAAATTGTCGACCCCGCTCTCAACTTTGGCAGCGAGAAAGTCGCCACCTATCAGATTGCACTTTAGATTAACAAATTTACCGACCGAAAATAAAATTATTTTTCATTTTATTGTACGGTTCATATCCAATGGTTCGGTTTTCATTTTTTCACTTATACATTTTAATTATTTTGATTCAACGTCCGCCTTATGTTTTTTATAATAACCAACTGACCAAATTATATAAAAAAAATTATTTTATTATATATAATGGGTTTTTTAACCAAAAAATAATATTAAAAATACAAAATTATTAACATGATAACTGAAGAGGGTTTAAGACAAATCATTAAAATATAATTACATCTTGAGTGCACGTCAATGTTAGACGAATTACACATTATTGGTTTCCATATTGCACTATAGCAACCGAAATCGAACGAACTAAATTTGTTGGTTCAAAATTTATCCACAAAAAACACAAATATGTTAATGTACCAAATTTTTAGTACTACACTTTATATATCAATACTTTGAACTTTATACAACAATGTTGCACCTTATAACACAACATGTTGCACTTTATAAACATCACGCGTACAAAAAATACAATAATCTTGCTAATCGATCATATAATATTAATTGATTAAATGTCAGTTTTATTTTTCTTACATTAACAAAATAACCGAACATGCCAAATTATATGAAAAATATTACAATTTTTTTTTTCGATTTTTATTAAATTATATATTTAAATATGAATTTATTTGTTTATATTAGTATTTTTTAAAAATTGCAAAATGATCCATAAATTATATCTAATTTCCTAAGAAAAGGCTACAATCAATGTCCAGATCTAAAAAGTGCATCTCTTTAAATTTTAAGTCATCTTTCACAAACATCACTTCCGGCCACCGCGTTGGCCGTCGCTTCCGATCACCGTCGTCACCTCAGCTGTCGCGGTCAACGCCCGTGAAACGCCTGGCCGACGGCCATCATCATCTTGCCGACCAAAACGGTGGATACAATGTCGGATGTCCGACGGCCATAACCATCGCAGCTTCTGGACGACTTGGTGGTTTCTGCCAGAGATTTCATGATGTAGCACATCTCTGATGACGGGCAACAGCGGCACAGCAGCGGTGGCCGTGGATGCTCTGCGACCGGGATGAGGATTGGGGAGGCGCATCAGACGGGCTGAGAAGGCGCGTCGGACGAGCTGAGGAGGCGCGTTGGACTGGTTTGGGAGGCGCCGCGTCGGGGCTGCGTAGCCATGACCGCCGGATTTCTGCAGAGGAGGAGACTGTGGAGGCGCGGCGGCGGGGGTGCGTAGCAGTGACTGCCGGAATTCTGAAGAGAGAGGGACACTGTGGTGGCAGCGTCGCCTGACGGCAGCCGACGAAGGGCGGCGGATCTGGTGGGCCGACCGTTTGCCCGGTCATGAGCGGGAAGTGTGTGTGTGAAGTGTGTGTTTGTGCGTGTGTGTGTGTGTGTGTGTTTTTGTAGGTGAAGGAGATTAATGAATTGGTGGGTGGACGATGGGTAGGTGGGTAGAGATAATGTTGGGTAGTGGTGGACCCTACATGTTGGTGAGTTGGAACAAATGTCCAAATTATCCTTACTTTGTGGTCAAAATAGGCAAAATTGTATATAAAAGCACCACCTTTCATGTTTTTGCATTTTAATCACGGCCTTCGCATATTAGCACTTAAGTACATGACCTTCATCCCTTTGTAAGTCGAAACACACCTTTCATCTCCGGCACCAATAAAATGACTTGGCTTGCCGGAATACACATGTGGAATTAAAACAAAAAGGAGAAAAATGCAAATCCACTTTGCCTAGTCCTTTTTTGACACGTCGATTGCACCAAAAAATAAAAAAACTAAAATTGAACTCCACGTCGCCTTGCAGAAATAATAAAAACCCCTAAATCGAATAAGAATGAAACTTAAAAAAATACTTTGTAAAGGCAATCTCTTAACACAACGATGATACCTCCAAGCTGGATTTTTATTCGTGTTCGAGGTTAGCATTTCCGCTTCCAAATTATGGAAACACATACAAGGCTAAGAAGTTGTGGTTCGACTGCTAGATCCGCTCGACATTTTCAGGAAAAATTGGGGATTTTGAAAACACAATTAGGGTTCGTATGGGAAGAGGAATTGGAATTTTGGGGGTGCTAATTCAGGGTTTTGAAGAAAGTTTACAGAAGTTGAAGAGCATATGATTCACAAAAATTTTGCAATTTTCATAGAAATTTCGCCATCTTCACAAAAATTGAAGATCAAAATTAGGATTCGATTGTGTGTGTGAGTCTGTGACGGAAGACTTAAATAATTGATTTGGGGGAGAGAAAGCGACGTGAATTTTGCGTTTATTAATTTTTTTTAGTCCATGTGTTATTACGAGAATGGGCGACATGGAATTCAATTTTTTCTCTTTTTTTGAACATTCCACACGTGTATTCCGACGAGACACGTCAGCTCTATTGGTGCTGGAGGTAGAAGGCATGATTCGATTTGCAAAGAAGCAAAAGGTCATGTACTTAAGTGCTAATATATGAAGGTCGTGACTAAAATGCAAAAACATGAAAGGTGGTGCTTTTATATGCAATTTTTTCCGTCAAAATAATATATTTGACCACGAATTGTACACTTATTTACAAAATTGCCACAGCATATTTGACTGCATATTTTATATTTGACTAGATCATGACCATTGATATGTTGGATCCATTGGTCCAGAATCATTCTTATTTATTTCACTATCTACCATTCTCATATGATCCTATATCATTCTTATATATATCATTCTTATTTATTTCACTATCTATCATTCTTATATATATATATATATATATATATATATATATTTAATTTATATCAGATAACTATTTTGTAATTAAGTTAGTTTAAATAATTTTATTTTTTTAAATTAATATTAATAGATAAGTTAATTTTAATTATAAATCGTAATTTATGAAAGAAATATGAGAGAAAATTATAAGATTGCCCAATTTAAGAAGGAAATTTGTACTAAGAGAAAAAAATAACAAAATTAAATGTACACTTACCAAGTTTGAAAAAAAGTTATTTATGTCTATACCAAGCCTAACTCTAAAGCAAAAATAAATAAATAAATAAAATAAACTAAAAAATTAATATACAAACAACATTCCGAAGCATAAATTTTTGTCACGTTAGCATCCGAAGCGTGTGAGCCTGCCAGTTAAACTCAACACGTTTTGAATTAATATATAGGGAGGGATAAATATCTTATTAGTTTATAAATAAGTATAATAGTTGTGAATGGACCTCACTTAGACTATTGATTCAACAAAATAAACCTCACTGTTTAGTTAATCAAAGTAGAGGTACTGTATGCACGTTTCTGTTTATATCTTACGGGTTCAGAGTACTAGTCATGGCGATGGGATGGCCCAGCCCGCCAGTTCGATGGGAATTGATCGAATCGACCCTGAACCGGCCCGTGGTCAACAGGCCTAGGATTGAGCCCATAGTTTGGTCGGGCCAGTTCTGGGGCTCATGTGTAAAAACTTTTAACCCGGTGGGCCGGGTCTGGGCTGGCCCTCGAGACGGCCTGCCATAATTTTTCTCTCTTTTTTTTTAATCTGTTGACCGGGTCAAGCCGGGCTGTGGCTTGGTATTGGACCAGTGGCAACCTGCTAATTTGGGCTGTTGAAAGCTTTTGATCGTTGGAGATCCAACAGTCAGATTTTTTTTATTTTTTATTTTTTAAATTCAGTTACACGGTCTGAGTCTGGGTTCAGTTTCGACCCGGCCTACCGGTTCCACAACGATTGAGATCCAGTGGTCAAGATTTAGTTATGAAATATAATTAATATCTTATTAGTTTATAGATAATTATGATAGTTGGGAATAGATCTCACTTAGACTATTGAATGGTTCAACCTGTCATTTTTTTTTTTTTGTCAATACGGTTAAATAATTTTTATGTATAAATTCTAACACTTTTGTAAAACAACTAACTTTTGATGGTTACCGATGTGGGACAAGATGTAAGAATTTCAAATTTTCAATTGTAAAAGTAAAGGACTAAAGCCACGCGTAGAATGAATTTCTTTTCCCTTTTACCTGCGCGTGGAAGGAATTTATTTTTCCATAATCCCATCTTCATTTTCTATTATTTTATTGCCCATTGTGGGAGTGTGAGAAAATATTTCTTGTTTTTCCGTATTTTTGTACTTTCATTTTATTGCTTAATCTGTATATGGTGGGACCAACCTTTTAAAAAATAAGTCAACTATATTTAATGTTTATAAAGTACAGTAAAACCTCTATATATTAATAATGTTGGGACCGGGTGATTTTTATTAATTTATATAGATAATATATAAATTAATAATTTATTAATTTAAAGATGTTTTAACGTATAAGTTGACCTCCAAAGTTTCAAATTTTTTTGAATAACTTTAAGTATACATGCATAGTTATTGATGAAAATGAAGTTAAAATACAAATGTACTAGTAGAATTCCATGAACACACTTATGTGGAAGTTGTAATGGCTTGTTTAAATTAATTGGTTTTGGAAAATACAAAAATATGGTTCATCACTAAGTTGTCTTAAGAATCTTCAAGTGCATCATATTATATATATATATGAATTATTTTTAATAATTATTAATTTATAGTTTCGTTGAGACCAATATATATACACTGGGATCTCAAAAAAATTATTATCTTATAATTTTATTGATTGGGTCCCAAATTTTTACTGGTCCCAACTTGGGACCGGACAAATTATTAGTTTTAGCGAGGTTATTAATTTATTGAGTATTAATTTAACGAGGTTTTACTGTATTATGTATTTAAAATATCAATAAATTAAATAACATAAAAAATTAGGTTAACTATATCTATGAAATAATATATATATTTAAAAATATCAATAAATTAAATAACGGTCCAACCGGTTCAACCACTAGTCGAACCAGTGAACCAACGAACTAGTAGCTTGACCGGTTCGATGACCAGTCCGGTTTTGACAACCTTGTTCTATATACAATCGGCCCCCAAGTTTTTGATGTAACCGTTCATATTGTGAAGAAATTTTACATTTTTTTTTATTAAAAGAAAAAAACTCGATTTTCCTATTTGGAGTTGGAGTAGGTTGAAGTTGAACTAGAAAACTTTCTCATTATATAGTTTGTTTAAATGCCACAATTCATAGAGAGAGCCATGAGATCCCTCTCAAACACCACCAAATCCTCGAAAAAGACAAGGCGCACCACCAAATCCTCGAGAAAGACAAGGCGGAGTAGCGTTTTCCCACTCCTTTCCGTCTTAAACACCACCACATTCTCGAGAAAGACAAAGTCGATTAGCGTTTTCAAACGCCTTTCCTACTGTACCAATCCACCTGCCAATGGCGATTCCAAGCCGATCCAATCCGCTACTACTAGACGCCGAGATTCGACGAGCAATCTCATGTTCCTCGTCAGGTACATGCACGGCGAAGAGCTCGATTACTCTGTAATAACATTCGAAAACAACAAAAACATCAACTCTTTCAGGCTACTCCTGGACGACGATGATGATCTTCCTCACAACTTGTTGTCTGTAATCAGAGATGAAAACTTCTATACTTTTTGTCAATTTTTGCACTACCCCGTTTTAGGAAGCTGCGACTCCTACATTTGGGGTGCTAGACGCACTACATACTCATCCATATGACCTTGTGTGGGACATGGCGGAATCGAGACCCGTCGGCTGTTACCCCTCTGTTTTCCCAACTATGGAAGACGAGTGGTTGAGCGGCTTTGGGTTTGATCCTGTATCAGGAGACTATAAGGCGGTCAGATGTTGGATGCATGACTTCTATAATCCCACCAGGAAAGTCTACGCTGAGGTGTTGTCCCTCAGAACCGGTTCGTGGAAGGCGATTCGGTATCCTTACCATAGCAGCGGGATAGCTCCAGAAAAGCCGTCAATATGCGTTAACGGTTTTCACTATTGGTTGGTTAATGATTGTAGGGAGGATGGTGGTTATACTATTCTTTCGTTCGACTTTTCTAACGAGATGTTTCATGCTGATCTTATCTGTTTGCCGAAGAAGGATATGGTGAGGAACTATATTCCTGTTGTGCTTGTCGAGTTTCATGGGTCGCTGGCTGTTATCTGCTGCGATTCCGAGTCTAAAGAGGTCGATTGTTTTACTTTCGAGATTTGGGCATGGAGGAATGAGGGTAATTGGTCCCTTGTTTCGACGTTCGATGTCCCTGCAGCTGTTGATCCTCGGGAGGTGTGGGGACTCTTTAAGGACGAGAAATTGTTTTTGCAAAACCGGAGAGGTGACTTGCTGCTTTATGATTGTGCTACGAGAGACTTAGAGAATCTCGGAATCCATGATATTGGATTCTATCCCTTGGTTTTACCTTACATTAAGAACTGCGCTAAGAGGAAATTTAATTAGAGCTCATTTTATGGCATCTTTCTTTGTTTGAGAGTTGCGTTTTTACATTTGTTTGAATGGTATCTGCTGTGGATGTCTATATGGTCCTTAGTTTACTTTGTTGTTGGACTGCTCCAGCACTCTTCCTTGTTTGTGTTTTCTTTTGTGTTTAAGTTATCAATTTTTCTTTGCTTCTAAAACAGCTTATCATTCGTTTTCGTTTCACTCTTCTTTTTTTTTTTAAAAATAAAAAATAAAAAAATTGTTATTGCAAGTTTAGTGGATACAGTTTTTCCTATGAGAGATTCTAGCTAGCAATGATATACAGTTGCGGCGATGTTATGATCTCACATTAGATTATTAATTCCCGGACCTCTTAGCCGAGTTGGGTTACTCACACCTTAAGTGAACTCTCTTCAAATTTAGCCTGATAATGATATCTTCTCTGCCTGTCTCTGTCTATCTATCTGCACAACACACGTTAGGAAATTGTTATCTTTTATGAAGCCCCTTTATCCATACCCTATGTTGTTGCATCCCATGCTTGGGATGCATAGTGTTTTCTCTTAACTATCCTAAATTCTTGAATTGGAGTTGGGTTAGGCCGACGTTTCATTCAGTAGCCGAAATCTATGCTGATGCTTTATTAATTGTAGATTAGCAAACATTTTATGCACTTAGCAGTTGGGATATGCAAATTTCAGAACAGGTTGCATCCTTTTGCTGATAACAAATAATTGTTGGAATCAATTGATTTCATGTGGCGAGGTCTTGAAGGAATGTATTGCCATGTTTCCCGTAAAGGTTGCATTCTTTAGGGGTACGTGTAGTAAGAGGATTGAGGATCTATTTATTTGGTCGGTAGGTCGATCGATCGAAGGGTTAGTGTACTGATAATTCTTGCTCAGCCTTCAACGGCTAATACCGTTTAATCTTCCTAATAAACTTAACTTTAAAGATGACCATTCCTCTTCCCTTCCTTTCTGATGGTGCTGAACTATTGATGTGATTGCCTATTCCTTCTTGTTTGTATGGTTCACATGATCTTAACTAATTCTGGTCTTCATCTTTATATAGTGCCTACGAAATTCAATGGTGAATTACATGTGGAAGATGCAGATTGTTCCATTGAGATATGCTGCACCCATGCTTTGGATGTTGTCCAAGTAATAATCTTTAGATGTTGAGTGTTTTATGTTTTATGAAATCTGTGTAAATACATTTGATCCGAAATCTGTGTCTATGAGGAGATGAAATGGGGAATAATGAGAGTCCTGATGTAGGGTACGACTGTTTGGATTGAGGGATTTGTAAATCCCAGGTTATTATAATGAATGCATTTGGAACTTTCTGCATTTCAGACTCACTCATTTAACATATGGTATTGGGCTTTGGTGGTATAATCTCCAGTCCATGAGTTGTTACTGATTAATCACGTAGGTATAATTGCTTTTTATTCGTGTGGCTATGTGAGACTGCTTGTGTGCTTTTTCGCATGAGATATTTTGTGCGCACAACTTGTGTGTGTATGTGGGTCGTGGGAGTAGCTTCATACTTGGATTTTAAGATTGCTTTTCAAATATTTTTAAATTTATATGCTAAGTAAGGATATAATTCAAAATTTAGTCAAACAAGTGGAATGGATTCGGTCGTGGATCTTTAAACTGTAGTAAATACTTTTATTCATTTACTATTCACCACCCCTTATTATTAACACCGCCCCCCTTTTACTCTTTTGACTTTAACTCTTTTCTCTCTCTATCTCTCTAAACTCTCTATCTCTCTAAGAGCATCTCCAATGTGGCTTTTGACTTCATAAAAATTCATCTATATCATTGACTTTTGAAAGTGTATTACTAATTTATTCTCTAATGCATCTTGTCATGAACTCTTTCATGATGAGGTGGATAGCATTTAATGTTGACAATGTTGAACACACTTTCTAATATCTAACACCATGTTAAACATGATGACTAATCAATTCACTTTATATTTGATTTAATTTTTTATTGTTATTGTATTAATAATTATTTTAATTGGTCCACATATACAAATAACTCCTTATCAAATTGATGCATTGGAGATACTGGTTTGATTCAAATTTCTACTCTTTTAACATTATTCCTACATGGATTAACATTACAATCGTTGATTGACATGTGTTAAAAATATTGTCATTCAAAGCTATAACATTGGAGATGCTCTAAGACCATCAACTACCATGACTCCAACAATGGGATTGGCAGGGATTGTGCAAAAAAAGTAGATAGGAAAATATTAAAAAAAAAAATTCTTTGCCTCATGAACGAGCTGTTCGTTCTGCCGCCCCCAAGATCATTCATCTCCAATGTGACACTTGTCAAAGTATGAATTGAAGTTATTTCTTTTTTAATTGTAAATTTTAATGGATAATATTATAAATATTTTTGTATTAAATAAAAATTATATCAAAATTCATAATTTTTTTTTCTCTATAAATAGAGCCTAATTTTGACATAGTTTTACAAACAAACTCAACCTTTCTTAATCTTCACATATTTTATCTTTCTAGCATATTTCAAGTTATTTGAGCTTAATGGATCCAAATTACCCCAATTATTTTTTCAACTCCCAAAATTATCCAAACCTAAATCCAAATCAAAATTCCCAACAATTTTCTAATTCTCCGTATTATGGAAATTCTCAATTTTCTCCAAATTTGAACCAAATTCCTACCTCTCAAAATGCTCTAGTATCTCAAAATATATCCCGTAATTTGTTTGAAGAAACTCAACGCACCAAGGTGGCAAAAAATAATTGGTGTGTCAAAGAAGATATCGCACTTATGTCATCATGGATCTTCGTTAGCGAAGATAACATACGCGGCAGAAATCAAAAGGGAGGCTGATATAGCCACATAAGTATAGCCCGGTCCAGAAGCTCCTTAACCAACAAACCACTCGCATTACTCGCGTGTCGACATGATTCAGCCGACATGCCCAAATCGACTTTCCCTAAGAGCAATCAAGAAGCAGAGATGGGTCTAGTCGACTCCCTCGAGTCGACCTTGACCTATCGACTCTCACTAATCGACATCAGTAAGAAGAGGAACAACGAGAGTACAGCTCCCGTTCATCCAGATATTCTAAGTCGACCCCAAGAAGTCGACTGAATTAAGACGACTCTCTGAAGATGACTTCGCCTCAAAGAACTAGTCAAGCGTAGCCTCCGAACTCGCATATACCCACGAGTCGACTTCTTAGATCTCGAAGTCGACTCCACATACCTCGAGTAACAAAGATATGACGACGACTCATCACACTTGTAACACTTGAAATCCTACCTATTATGAAGGATAAGAAGGAATCTAGCGGTGACTCAGCACTAAGGGGAGACGAATCGACCGGGGCATTTTGGACCTTCTAGGTCCACCGATTGGGGTATTTTGGGTACTCTGCGTAAGTATTCACTCCTATATAAAGGAGATGAGGTAACCCTAAACCCTAACTCTCATTCATTCTCACTTTCCCTATAGCTGTTGCGCAGCCCTTCTTCATCCCTTTGATACTGACTTGAGCGTCGGAGGCTCTACGCCGGAAACACCTCCGGCGTTGAGTTTTTGCAGATATTCTTGCGGTCTAGAGACGGTTTCAAGGCGGTTCAAGCAGATCTGAACTCACAACCACCGGTTTACTCCGGATCCAGAAGTAGACCCATCATTTGGCGCCGTCTGTGGGGAGTTCTTAAAGGAAGGAAGAGCTTCACACCCAGTTCCGATCTGTTTGACAATGGCGGAGAAGGAGAGCTTGCAGAGGAACCTGAGCGAGGACTTCAAAGGGGCGTGGATGGACAAGAGGCCACCACCACTTCCCACTACCAAACACTCCATAGTTCAGATGACAGGAATACCGCAGTTCGTAGGACTTCCACCGCCCGGGCCGACGTTGGGCGGAGAGACGCCTGTTACTCCAACCGGCGTGAAGTTGCAGGTGTTGACCCAGATAGGGACAAGTCAAAACCCTAATCCAGGAGGGGAGAAGGAACTAACGGAGATGTCTCGGCGTGAAGGAAAACAGATACAGGAGATGCAGGACCAAATCCAACCCCAGGTCGAAGAGCAGACCTTGACGATGACGAGAAGTGAGATGCAGAAGATGATCGCTGAGGCTATAGCGGCCCAGATGAAGCAAATGGCGCAGGTCAAGCAGCAGCCTCGAGTCGAGAACCCACCTCGAGTCGAGCAGCAGACCCGCGTTGAGTATCAGCCTCGAATTGAACAGCAGCCTCGTGTCGAGCAACAAGC